TTGTTGTCGGTCACAGCCGATGCCTCCCGTGGAAACTTGTAATCTCCTGCAAAGCTAATCAAAAGCACGAGTTTCGGGAGCAAAGCAAGCTACAAAATGCCCCCCCCCTCTCCCCCTCCCAAACCAATCAGCGTCCATTTACCAACATCAGCGAAATACGCAAATTCACACGGAAAAGAAATAGTCAGCCATCCAGTACTGAAGGCGGTGGTTACCGACAGCTTTTTAACTTTCGGTCCGAGCCCAGGGTTTGAACTGAGGATTCTGGAATATGTGACAGTAGTTGAGATTGTCGGGAGATAGCCGAATGTAGGTCATTTTTTAATGTTATTTTGTCGTTTCAATGGTTTTTATGTAGAATACGACAGTATTTTATAATGCTGTTCTGCCTCAGGAAGGAGTGCTTTCGCAGTTCAGAAAAGTTGAGTAAGATAGTGGGATAGTGTGGGGGGATGGAAGTGCAACGCACGCGGCCGCGTGCCTATGCCACCTGTCTCAATGATGTAACACGCGCCACACGCGTCTGCATCATCTCGCGCGGTGCTACTTTTACGAGTGCTACCTCGTTCAAAGTGGCTTGTTGCGCCCTGTCTGTCATCCCCCCCCCTTCCCCACTGACCAAGACCTCTGGCAGCATCCTTCTTCCAGAAATAAAGTTAACTCATTTGCGACCAATCCATATGTGAGTCACACTCGCCACTTTTGATAACCCACTCGCTGTGTGATGCTCACGCCTCATAAACGCCTTGTAAAATTTGAGAACTTCCATCCCCCCCTCCCTGCTTCGCAAAAGACGAGCCCCCCCCCTAAAATTTGTTCTTCAGCACGGCCCGCCCCTTTCGACTGAGACCCTTAGTTTCCATGTTTTTTTTTTTTCTCGAAACCTTGCTGTCAAGCGAGAGGAAGGAAACAGATGCGGGTAAAATGGAAAAATCAAAAGGGTCTCTCGAGATATGAAAAACCCTTTGCCTCAAAGTACGGCCCCTCCCCTTGCGATTTCTATTGTACAATGATGATGTGCTCTTATGATTTCAAACAAGCAAATCGGAGGTATGGTTGTGGATACCACATGATCAGAAGATAGATAGATCCTCCCTGGAATAAACCTTTCTTCCCCATGTTTCACCCCTGTACGGGACCAAATTCAGGACTAAGCTGTAAAAGATATGAAAAGGCATATAGTTGCGCGGACGGGCGAAGGCTCATCAAAGCTCAGCACCCCACCCCCAAATCGAACCTAGGAGGGGCACAAGTGAGATTATTATGGCTAATTACTCCTCTCGAGTGAAGCTATATAGCGCACCTGGAGAAAGACAAACCAATAACAAAATAAAATCAAAAGAAAACCGGGCTGAAAAAGCCCTTTCAGCGGGAGGCGAACCCCCTCGTCGCCCCTTAAGGAAATCTCAACATAGGGCCTGGCTGGCGCTCCTTGGCCAGATTTGGCCTCCTTTTGCCCTGAATTGGGACAGCAAGGAATAAGGCATCTAATTGGGATGCGCCATGATTGTCATTTATAAGCGAACACTCCACATTTATTGAGTCGTATTATTTTTTGGCGTTCATTCATGATGAAAGCTATTACAGACACAATTTTTTTAAATCAGTGAAAGGTTTCATTCCTGAGCCCCTTCTCCTGGTGCTCTCGGCTTCTCAAGTTGATTGGGCGCTTCTTCGGGTGGTTTAGGTGGCTCGAAATATTGGAAATCCTTTTGATTGGGATCTTTCTTTAACGATGGAGGCTGTAAAAGTGAACAATTTAAGGACATCAATATGAGATTCTTTCTACAGGGTATGAGCCATGCTTTTGGAACACATTTAGATTAATACTTCATTATGAAAAACGCTGTGGACCACAAAAGAACCAGTGAAAAATCAATGAACTTCCAAGTCATATCCTTTTGCTACCGAATTCGGTTCACACTGGTACTGCTGCGCGGACACAGTGATCCCGATTGATCGCTCGTGACCAACGATCTGTTCATACTTCGCCGACTCCAGCACATCAGCACTTTACACGGTCGCGACTGTGACTGGCTACGCTCTGCCGCTAACCGTTCCACCTTCTCGCGCGCGGAAAGAAAATTCACTAGGGCCAGACAGGACCCACCCCTCCCCCCCGCGATTACGACCCCTCCCACTGAGAGTCTCCCACCGCAGCAACACAGCGATAGGCCTTCGAACGGTCTCGACAGCTGTCGCGTGTTTTTCAAATCGCGCACTGTACGGAAGTTTGAACTTGAGTAAGCGTTGGAGAGCGTTGGGGAAAGGCCAGGACCCATCAGAAAAACTCCACGCTAATCGCGTTTTGGGGTGTGTTTAAGAGGGAGGGGGAGTCAAGTATTCCATTGCATTTTCCTCACTGACGCACCCCGCATCTTCCTGATTCATTGAGAGCAAGGAGTTTGAGGAGCAATGAGAAACATATTATTGATGTGAACTGTGAACAGAGGGAAATCAGGATTGTAACAGGATCTTTCAGCGGTATGCATTCGGTCCATGGACCTCAGAAAAGTGAGAACTAAGATAGGGGGTGATTCAAAGAGCAGTATTTAATGGAAAATTGGAAACGGAACAAATAAGGCCTCACCTTCGGTTCCTGTTGTGCTGCATCCGGAATGGCCTCTTTAGAGGGAGTCTTCTGCTTCTCGCTGAAAAGTGAACATTCAGTACCAATATTCGATCTGATCATGGACGCTTGTTCGGCTGTTGGAAGGGGCATCTTGTACTTTCAGTGGTTTTAGGTTACACTTTGGTGGTACCTGTGAACTTCTGTGTAACCACAAAATGGTAGAAGTAGGTAGGCACACAAGAATTTACAGGCATTTACAAGGTGACCCGAACGCTTCGCTGAGTATCATGGTGTGCTCCCACCAAGCCGAACCGCGCCTTATTCATGTTTTACAATTTTCCCTCGAGCGTTCGTTTTCGTTTAGCCTCAGATGGAAAGCCCCGAGATACTGCAAGGCTCTAAAACTCGTCACTTACGATTAGTTTCCTGGAGAGGGTCTCGAGGAGGCATCGTTTCCACCCTCTCAGAAAATGAAGGGAAGCTTTCCGGTTGTCAGAATACCGCTTGGCATATGAACCAACCCGAATATCCTCATATAGGGCGATAAAAAAAGTACAAAACTCCTACCGTTGATCAATCCTATGTTGAAATGTCAGTGTTTTTTTATCCTCCCAGACGAATCCGGTAACCATTAGCCTGCCCAAATTGTTAGAATACTTGGTCGTCCCGGTCGGAATCATAGATTTCACCTCGGATCGTCTCTGTGGTGAGCCTGCCGTTTGCTACCACACCACCCCACCTCCGCCTCGAGAGATAGGACAGCGACACCAACGCCCTGGGAAACTGGGTCAGCTTCTTCCGCCACATCAAGTAGGAAAGTACGTACCCTTCCGTTTCTTCACCAGATGCTTTCCCTGGAGCGGAAACTTCTTGAGACTCCTTAGAACCCTTCTTGTCTCCTTTTTTCTTCGCTTCACTGGACTTCTTCTTCTTCTTTTTCTTACCTTCCGCGGACTTTTTTACGCCCTCCTTGGAATCCTGTAATTTTTCGCTATGCAGTTGACTTTCCGTGCTGGATCTCCTTCAACGAACAATGCGTAGACCATGCCTTGGAACGCGACGCGGCGTCACTACCACTGCGCTACGACCCGCCGCGCGCGACGACGTCGCTATGGCCACATCGCCGCGATGTGTCCCCAATATCGCAAATGGACCGCAAACGGCATAAGATAGCTTAGTCCCCAGTTGTCATGTGGAGGAACGTTTCACCCCTTTCTCCCGCCTCCTCACATGACAACTAGCAAACATCAAAAAAGTACGAGCTGATATTTTTTGACAGAAGAGGCGAGTTTGAAGCTCGAATTTTCGGAAAATTGTCCCCTCTGAATTCAACTGATATTCGGGTCACCTTTACCTTCTTTAGGCTGTCCGAAATTTCCAATGCGTGTATTCCCTAAATCTTTCAACGATGGGTGGGCAGGATATTGATAGCAGAACACACCAATAACTATAAGACTGATAAAGAAGACATGCAGAAAGACATCGCCTAAATGTTAAAATTCAGAAACGAAATTGGCGGAGCTTGGCTAGGGGGTGAGCATCTGCACTTTCGCTGCTTCCCCGTTGTCGTGATCATTTACAAGAGCTTACAGGTGTTCTTCATTAGAGTTGACAAGTATTTACAAACTTCGACTGGTTCACAGGTCTCTACTCCCATGCACTGCTTTATACGAAATCAGGTGTTAATTTATTACACATAATGACTTGTGGGGGGCAACTCATGAGCAAGTCACTTTTGGTTTTCCAGTAAGGGCGGAGCCTCGTCTAACATTGTGGATTCCTCGCTGCTCCATATAAGGCACACTGTACGCTGATCGTTGGGGCGGAGACAGTCACACAGTGTGTGTCTCTCATTGTTACATCGTTCCTTCTGATTCAGGAGAGCGGAGGAGTGCGCTAACTGCTAAAGGTAAACAGATGGCTGTCTCCGCCCAAAGGCGCAGCGTGGAGTTTGTTTGCTGAACCAGAAAAAAAATCGAGTCCTTACGGCTCCTCCTCGTATGGCTCTCGAGTATCCACCCGGATAATCGGGAGCGTGGTGAAACCATAAAGCTGCAGCGGCACCAATATTGAAAATAGAGTTGAAAACCATGACTGTGACTATCTGAACGATTGCACATTAAGACCCTTAAAGCCTACTCACGCTGACACACGCACGCACGCGGCACACGCTTGACACGCTAAACGCTCAAGTCTTGGATTTCCTGCTTCTATTCTTGGCGAGCAATCAGCTATCGCCCGTTTCTCCTTACTGTCGCCACTGATAACGCCTTTGATATCGATCGGATTGACAACAGCGCTCGCCGAAAATGATCGCGGCATGAGGCGGCGTTCAGGCTTCGTGATGAGATGCGTCCGACAACGTCATCGCGAAGTCTGAACGCTGCCTAAAATTGCGCCATACTTTGCGGCAGCGTCCACCAGAGTCAGCAGAGTTTCAAGTGTCGGTCAGCTACACTGTAGGCACAGTATAGATATTGATCGTGCACCACGCGGTCTACCAGCGTACAGTGCGCGATCCAGTAAACAGAAAGTATGGGGAGGTAGGAAGGGACAGGACAGCTGGATTAGACGTCGCTAAATTGCGGTGTGTGCAATCGCACCGTACTACTGCACGGTAACTGCTCCTGGTCACTTGTGAACGCCAAACGGATATCCATAATTTCCCAGTCTCTCGAGACGCTGATGTTGGCTGGTGGACGCTGGTGGATGCCAGAATAACCTGGTAGACGCTACCATTCGCTAAATTGCCTATACGTGATCGTCTGCACTTTCATAGTCGCTGTCGCTGACGGATGTTCGAAACGCTGATGGTCGGTACTGGGCGCTGGCGCAATCTTCTGCAAAGTATGAGCGCAGCATAAGGAAGCAATCGGACTTCGCCATGAGGCGCCTCGAAGCACATTTTAGAGCGTATTGCGTTGACGCGAAGTATGAACGCGCTGCCTAAGACAGCAGAATTGATAGATTCTGTGAAAAGTCAAGTTCAAATGTGCACGCTGATGGAAATTTTCAATGTGAAGTGGCGAACGTACCACAATAGGAGGCAAAAAGCGTGCAATGTGTGTTACATTGTTCGCCAATAGACTTGCTAGTACACAAAGGAAGCATATAATGTGAAGAACCATCGAAGCCATGACCTGTACAAAAGTATACTTGGATAACACTAGTAAGGTATTCTTTGTTTGTTCAAACACATAGTCCACGCTAATCAGGTGGGTGGAGACAGGGCATCATAGTGTCTTTTTCACTGGGCGCCAATCCTCTATCAGAAGGGGTGAGAATGAACACATGGTTCCCTGCTTCCTCCAATACAGACAATGTGCACAAGCTCCTGAGCTTTTTTTCGGGCGCTCCCGCAAAATCGATGGTGGGATAGAAAGAAGAGACAAAAGCTGTGACAAATGCAGAGTGGGAGAGCCAAATGAGCAACTGGCCAGCGATATTGCATGAACAGGCTGGGTAAGTGCTGGTTTTGTCTAGACGGGTTACCATCGGGACCAAATCTCACCTTGAAACCGTCGAAATCGAAGCCATGTCCAGCTGTCTGATTACTGTGTGATGGCACAGACATGTCCCATAATCCAGAGGTGAGCAACAAAATGACAATCATGGCATATGCTGTCTAAATGTTTCACATTCCAATAAGTGGTTTTGGAGGTACGTTACACAATTGTCCTAATGTCTATAACTCCTTCCTTGTATTTACAACGCAGTGCAGTCTGCAGTCACACGAGAAAGCCATTCTGGCGACTCATTGGGGACGTCAGAGGTCTGCCACGATGGTCCAGCTCCACCCACATGGGTCTGTCTCCACCCTTTTCAGTTCGCTGTAGGATTCTGCGGTTTCATTCGTCGTTACACACTCACTATTTCGTCCTCTGCTTCTCTTTTGCACGCTCAAGGTCCACTCGCTGGTGCTCTCGTAATGTTGCAGGCCAAAAGACGTTGCTGACCCTTTTTTCTATTTTTCTCCTCACTAGGCCACTCGACTACACATATTTGGGTGTGGAGCATTACTGGGGGGTCTCGGCGAGTGCTCCTGCAGAGGCGACAGTGACAACACCCATCTCAGCGAGGGTGCAAACATGAGGTGAGCTACTATTGCAAGAAAGTGGTCCCTCCCGGACCACGTAACGCATCGAGAAGAGGCTTAGGCTGGGAAAAAGCCGACAACCCTACTGCCCTTCGAGCGCGGTAGAGCAGGTGTTCGTCACTCTGCACCATCTTGTCGCGCGATAGATGGCTATGACGCCGTCTGGAGCGCGTCACTTGTGAATTTCCACCCCTCTCTCCTTACCCTGGAAGTTTATCAGCAGGACTTTACTGCGCAATCCATTCAGCTTGCTTCAACTTCCTTCCCCGATCATTTCGTATCAGGGTGCAGTATCGACGATGATGGTATGATTTACACTTCCCCTCGCTGTCCCCCCCGCCTTTACCCCCAAATATTCCATTCTTGGTACGCACCACCCTTATCAGCGCTATCTCCTTACCCCTACCACCTCCTGGCATTTCCCAGATTTCCAAACCATTTTTCTCTATGCTCTCCCATTTCCCCAGAAAACTGCACCGGAACAGAGGATTGGCACGCCTAAGCGCACGCAGTACTACGGCAACTTCCATTTTTAGCCCATATAGACGAACAAAATGCCTCCAAGGCAGAGGTATGCCTCATGCCGTAGGAGTTAGGGTATTTCTATTTTACTTCGAATTTAGAAATACTTAGGCAAACTTCAGACTTGGCGAGTGCAGCTCTTTGGTCGCGCGATTCGACCAATGCGCATGCTTTCGACTGCATCGATCGCGTCGAACGCGCGACCGAAGCGCTGCCATCGCGGAAGTCTGAACGCTGCCTTATTGCTTACTACGCCTTAAAACATCGAGGATCGCCCCATGAATAGCCAAGTGAGCGCCAAAGGACAAACCCAGAAACAAAAGCCTTCATTACTCACGAGAAGACTGACAAGTAAATGCGAGTGAACCGCCACGCAAGCCATCGCATTCTGAATGAGACCGACCGGTAGTACTATCAACAATTATTGAATTGTTGTTATCCCCCTCGCAAACCGATTCTTTTTGCTATCACATTTCGCTAGCACCGTAACCACTATCGCCCCAAAAGTTATGAAGAGAGCTCTCGAAATAGTCCAGCCTTTCCTGGAGGCAAGAAGGGAAGGGGGTACGGGCGACACGACCACGTGCCACCTCAAAGCGTGTCAAGGCGAGAGAGGCATGGACTGATGCTAATAAGGCGTGACGAACTTCGGGTGTATTTTGTCGGAGCTAAAACGATCATAAGCGTATCCCCCTATCGATTCTGCGACTCTTCAGAACGTTACGTACACTTCACATAATAGCAGTCAGTCCAAGTGGTGGCAGGAACCATGGAATGAACCCGTTTGTGGCATTTTCTACCGCTGTTTGTTTTCTCCCTGAACCAGTCACTGTTGGTAGACGAGGATGGTCGCATTCCATGCTCTCTGAGACCGCCGCGACTGACTGTGACGATATCAGCTACACCTACACCCACAAAATGCTCCCGAAATGAACAACAATGGA